GGTAGAGGCGGAGCCACTGACCCATATTCGAGACTTAGACACCAAGAAATTCATATGGAGGAATATAGTCACTAGATTTGGGGTCTCCCAGTGCTTATATCAGACAACGGGACTCAATTCAACAGCAGACCCTTTAAATCTTTTTGTGAGCACCTCAGGATCCACAACTTCTATTCTACCCCCGCATACCTTCAGGCCAACGGACAGGTGGAGTCCTCCAACAAGACTATCGTTAATGGGATCAAGAAGAGGTTGAAAAAAGTCAAGGAAAAGTGGGTGAAAGAACTGCTAAATATCCTGTAGGTGTACAGGACTACCCCTGGACTTTGACAGGGGAAATCCCTTACTCCATGGCATACAAGATAGAGGCAGTCATCCAATTGGAAGTAGGACTCCCCACTATAAGGACGCAAGCCTTCGACACCGAGGGCAACAATTACCAACTGAGTCTGAATTTGGATCTGGCGAAAGAAAGAAGGGAAGTGGCTGCCTTGAAGTTGGCTAAATATCAAGAGAGGGTTTCCAAGCTTCACAACAAACGAGTCAGGACCAGAGGATTCCAAGTCGGCGAATTGGTACTCAGGAGAGTGGTGGCCAATACCTGAGACTCAGTCGATGGAAAGATGGGTCCCAACTGGGAAAAAACCCTACAAAGTAATATCAGTAGGAAGCTCCAGGTCATAAAGGCTGCAAGATATGGAAGGAAAATCTGTAACACGACCTTGGAATGTAATTAACCTGAAGAAATACTATTTTTGAGTACTTTGCCTCTCCGCAATTATAAATGGGAACCCAAAAAAGGCACGGCCCTGGAAGCAGAGTCTCAAGGATTCCTGTTTCCAAATAAAAAACATGAATAAGCCTCCTGGAAAGGGCATGGCCTTGGAGGCAGAGTCTCAGGGACTCCTGCCTCCAAATAGAGAACAGGAACAACCCTCCTGGAAAGGGCATGGCCCTGGAGGCAAAGTCTTAGGGACTCCTGCCTCCAAATAGAGAACAGGAGCAAACCTCCGAAAAAAAGGCATGGCCCTGGAAGCAAAGTCTTAGGGACTCCTACATCCAAATAGAGAACAAGAGCAAGCCTCCTGAAAAAAACATGGCCCTGAAGTCAGAGTCTTAGGGACTCTTGCCTCCAAATAGAGAATAGGAGCAAGCCTCCTGAAAAAGGACATAGCCCTGGAAGCAGGGTCTCAGGGACTCCTGCTTCCAAATAAAAAACATGAGCAAACCTCCTAGAAAAGGCATGGCCCTAGAGGCAGAGTCTCAGGGACTCGTACCTCCAAATAAAAAATCGAAACAAGTCTCCTAGAAAGGGTACGACCCTAGAAACTACCTCTACAATTCATCTCCAAATCAGATAAAGGATATGCCCCTCGAGTGGAAAATATTCCCTTCCGGAGGGGTAGTGATCGGCCTTGACACTAACAAGAATTTCCAGACCCTACAAATGAATTAGTGAAATCACCCTACTATCGGGGTTATATACCTCGGGTAACACCTAAGGATGATGAAGTTGAACCAATCGAGAGGGATCAGTTGTCAAACTTCCTCAGCGTTGGAACCTCCACGACGTCTGGTTATCCCTATGTATCACCATATAACCGAAGTGTTTCGGGAATCAACCACTCGGACTAATGTTGAAGGCATTAAAAGCCTTTAGGCCCTGAAGTCATGATAAAGTCTGTAAAGTTAGTAGTTAAAATTACGCAGACAAGGAAATGATACGTGTATAGATAGTAACAAAAGAAGTATTTCATTGCAAAAGGAAACGGGGCTTTGCATCCCCGAGAGTTACAAGATGGAAAAGGAAAAGAATAGAGCAAGTACAGAGCAAACACAGAGCAAAAAGTCAACCAAATCACCTCCCCTTCAGCACCTCCATCAGGTCGCTGTAGGGGGAGTCGACATTGAAGACATCAGAAGTAGCCAGAGCGGGCGGAGTAGGGGCAGAGCGACGACAGATAAGACCGGAGGAATACCCATCCCGGGAGCAGGAGGGTCTGTCTCTGGTAGGGCAGCATCAGTTGGAGCCAGGATCACCACTTCAGAAGTCTCCCCCGAGGCTTGAACTAGGGGTTGGACCACGTCCTCAACGATGACTTCGGCCCCGGCCTGTACCATCTCCTCCGAGGGCACATAGGGGTGCATCCCGAACAAGGGAGAATCAGGAAGAACGCTAGCAACTCAGAGCGCCTCATCGCAGCCCCTCTTGAAATAATCTGCACTGTTCTCCTTAAGGGCGGGCAGGACGTTATCGGTGAACTCATTTTGAAGTTGTTCCTCCGACTTCTAATTGCTCTCCAATTCGGCCCTCACCTTGTCAAGCTCCTGAGTAAGGCCCAAGCAGTTTTTCTCCGACCCAGTTGCCCTCTCCTCGGTTGAAGATAGCCACTGTGTCTGCTCTGTTATCCTTCTCTTGGCATCAGTAAGGGCAGCACTTAGCTTCTCAGCTCCAGCCCTCGCCGATTCACCATCCTTGAGCAGTTGCTTTATTTGGGCGACCTATGTCTCTGGCAGCCATGTCCTCCTTAGCGATGGTCAGGGCTTCTTCAACCTTTTTCTTCTCTTCCTCAGCTCGCTGTAAGTTCATTCTCGCCATATGGTAACGTGCAGCGATCACCAAAATCTGTTGGGTGGCTTGCGAAGAAAAAGACTTGGTTAAATCACAATTGTAGAAACATGGAAAAAATAAACAGAGGAGTTAAACTTTCCACCAAGGAGTTTTGAATGATGGAACGGAATAATGAGTTTGTTGTCCGCTTCCGATGAGCCTCTATGTTGGTTCTGAAGTGAAATGGCTCGCTCACCGCGTAAGCCACATGAGGATCCTGGGAGATGAAGTCATTAACCCAGATGACCCTATTCATATGGTCAATGGCCCGGGGGTTCCACTCTGCCACATCCTCCGTCGGTGGAGGGGGAGGTGGAGTTCGTTACTGTTGCTATTACTTTTCTTACTGTTGTTGTTGTTGTTGTTGAGTCTGTGGCTGAGGTAGGGGGCCCCTCCCTCAGCCCCTTCTACCTTACTGCCGAAGGGAGGGGGCCCTACCCCAGCGCTGGGTATCATGCCTTTGTTTGACTCTCTTATCCTCCTCTATGAGAGGATCCATGTCGCGCACCTGACCCCGACCGGTGGGCCTTGGTGCTAGAGGGACGATGTTGCTGGTCTTTGAAGAGGATGGGAGCACATTGCTGGTTGATCCCGTGCCCCTCCCGGTAGCAAGGGATTGCCTCTACCTCAAGAAGCTCAAGTCAATTTGTGGGGGTGACATGTCTACCTCTAGCGCATCCTTGACGTCCAAAGATTGAAGGATGTTGATGTGGAAGCTTAGAAGGACTCATTTTCGCCGTCAAAAGTCCCGTGGCAATGGTGGCGCAAGTGTTTTTTGCTCCGATGATGGCTGGAAGGGCGGTGGTGCAGCTGGTTCTCTGAGGAGTTTTCCGGTGAAAGCCCTCATAAGTTTCTTCGCATAAACTAAAGTGTGAGAAAAAGAATAGGGTTTAGTTTATATAGTAACTGTCCCCGTCATTGCGCACGAAAACACTAAAAGGCACATTTAATGCGCACTATCTCCAAAGCGACGAAAAATGATTGAGAGCAATGATGAGGTAGTTAGGGCATTTATGTAACCCTTCGTCTTCTGATGACATGTCTCCCCTGTATCAGAAGATCAAAGGACTAGGGGTAGTTGATGGGACATTTTCGGAAGAAGACAGATCAGGGGCGACACGTGTCCTCGGTGTCATTATGTTCCCAGCTAGATATGGCCACATGTCCTCGACATCGCTCACCCCAATCTGTCGAGGCAATGATGCCCGGAGCCGAGGGACCCCCCCAATCGACGTGATTGACACATATCCTCGTCTCAGTGAAAACCCTTTATCCCGAAGAAGGCAAATACCCCCTCGGTGTCGGGGTGTTCCTTCTGTATGATGGATCCTATCTCTCTTCTGTTTCTATAAAAGCTAATGATTGACAAATGACTAGGCCAGACTAGGCTAATCATCATGAAGACAGTCTGCTCGATGGTGTCAGGAGGCGCAGGATTGTAGAACACGCAACCAAAGAGGAGTGGACGCGTGGAATTTGATATCAAATTTGTAGCAAAAAGACCTGGGTACCCCTGCTGACGTATAACTAGAACAACTAAGCATTTAATGAATCATCCTCCTAATGAGACAGCAATTAAGGCATGGGGCCCGAGAAGTGAAGTGCATTAAAGACTCTCATACTTGGGCATTTAATGCATCCTCGCCGAGAAGGGGGAAATTGAATGCTCGACAGAACCGAGGGGTGAGCTTTAAATGCTCGGCATCCCGATCAATTAAAACAGAGCTCATTCCCCATAAAAATGAGGGGCACACTGCCCCATCTCTGACAAATACCTACTGGATAGACTATCAGCAATCATGAGTTGTTGAATGTATAAATAATCCTCAAAAACGCATTGCAAAGGTAGGCAAGAACTACTGAAAAGAACTACACAATGATTTCTTTTTCCCCTCTCTCAAAGAACTTACTTGATCGTTAGAGTGGATACGCCAAAGAGCACTCCGACACCCTTTTAATCTGTTTTTCTGTGTCACAGGATCCCCTACAGTCTTCCAGGACCGGTCAGGCGACCTAACAAATAATTCATCATCAGTCATTAGGGTCCCTTTGTCCCTCTCAACCTATTTCTTGTTTCCAAAACTCACGTTCAGATGGTTCAAATCTCAGTCAGAGGCGATCGAAAATCTTAAAAGCAAACCTTCCGTTCCGTTGGAATTACTATCTTGACGAACAATAGTTCGTCATGGAAAAAATCTGTTCCTATTTCTACTATTGTGCAAAAATCGGCACCCGTAAATATCAACTCTAACTCTAGCTCTCTATTATAGCCTAACAATTAAAACAAANTCATTGAGGGGCCGAGGATCGGCCGGTTCGAGAACAACGGCCGTCCGGTGGCGCTACGTGGCCACAGTGCCTCCCTAGTGGTGCTTGGCACTTTCTTGCTATGGTTCGGTTGGTACGGTTTCAATCCGGGTTCGTTCAACAAGATTTTGGTTCCGTACACCACCGCAAATTATTACGGCCAGTGGAGTGCGGTGGGTAGGACCGCTGTGACCACCACCTTGGCAGGTTGCGCCGCCGCTTTGACCACCCTTTTTGGTAAGAGGCTTCTTTCTGGGCATTGGAACGTGACTGATGTGTGTAATGGGCTTCTGGGTGGCTTCGCCGCCATCACCAGCGGTTGCTCGGTAGTGGAGCCGTGGGCGGCGGTAATATGCGGCGTTGTGGCAGCGATGGTGCTGATTGGGTTCAACAAATTGGCTGAGAAGGTCAAGTACGACGACCCATTGGAGGCGGCGCAGCTACACGGAGGGTGTGGCGCGTGGGGGATTATTTTCACAGCACTCTTTGCTACTGAGGACTATGTGAACGAGGTGTACCCGGGAAAACTGGGTCGGCCATATGGGTTGTTCATGGGTGGTGGTGGGAGGCTATTGGCAGCTCACGTGATTCAGATTCTGGTGATTATTGGGTGGGTCAGTGCCACCATGGGTCCATTGTTCTTTATTCTTCATAAATTGAAGCTTCTTCGGATCTCGCCGGAGGACGAAATGGCGGGTATGGATCTGACCCGACATGGTGGGTTTGCATATGTGTATCATGATGAAGACGATTCACAAAAGCATGGTGTTCAGATGAGCAAGATTGAACCTGCTGCCTCAATTTAGAACAATTTCTATAAATTTTATTTTACTGGTGTCTTTTAGGTTGTGTGATTCAAGATAAAGTTTTGTGTATATGAATTCTTAAGACCATATAATACAACGGGATTTGTGTGATGGGATTGTTTTCTAATTAGATTGTGAAAAATTACTATGTATGATAATTCATTGATTTTGCAATGGGTGGTTGTGGTGAGATAATGAGAATGTGGGCTGAATTTGTTTGTTTTCTTTCATTATTGATCATGAATGCTTGAGGTGTTATGATTTTCTCTTTTTGTGGAGGAAGGATAAATGGTGTCATGTGATGAAAGTGGAACGATTTTTCGTTTGAATGATAATGGAAGTGAGGAACTTGTCCTTTTCTTTCACTTGTTTTATTCAATAGTTGATTCCATGTTAGAGTTGTCTATGTTTTGTCTCAAGAGGTTGTGGTATGGAGATGTGACCCTTGTAAAGATGGGAAAATCAAGTTATTCATACTTAATATTAATCTGACTTATTTATTATCTGTGTTTATACATGTTGACATTTTGTCAGTTTGATCTTAATAATAATCAATGTGAACTTCTAATTTCATATTGACTAGGCATCGTGTTAAAATTTACAACTCATGATTTTATACTACTTGTATGATAGTTATAGATTGAAATTCTCTTCGATGCTTACAATTCTAATGTGAATTGAAGTAAAACTCATCCTATTATAGGTGATTAATGACCGTTAATTTAGAAAATCGATGAGTATATCTAGTGAGGACAATATATATTTTTTTAATATATTTTCTGTTATATTCTCTTTTGACAGATTATCTATCATGTATTTAAGTGGGTCCTTTATTAATTAATGGCGGATGATCTGCCATGAATAAAATTGTTAATCAAGTCGAGTTTGTCGAATTCACTTTTTTAAAATAAGTCGAGCTTGAGCTGAACTCAAAACGAGTCGAATCTAAGCAAAATTCATATAGCTCAATTATTTTACATATAAACGACCTGAGATTTACGTGTTCGACCCCGAACCGAGTCTTTTTATGCTCATGTATTAAGAGAATCTAAAAAATTGTTCAAATTCAGTTCATTTAGAGCACGAGCGAAGCTCGAGTCAAATCTTATCTGAACCGAGTTCAAATAATTCGGTTAAATTATCAATCCTAACCATAAATAAAATTAAAAAAAAATGTATTGAAATGGATCTCCATCCAGAAAATGGGTCATTGGCATGGAGGAGGGATGGGTTAACATAGAAGTTTTTTCCTAACAGTCCCCTGGTTGCACGCATTCACGATTCATATCCATCCATACATTTTTGGGATTCACAGCATCTCTCTCCTATCGTCATGGGACAGGATGCTAGGAGAGAATCTGGTGATTCTCAACAGATGGGCATTGCTGCTTGACTGATTTTCATTTACCAACTACTATACTGAATAAAATGTTAGACAGATTTTTTATTATTATTATTATGGAAGTAGATTATCGTAATATTTTCTTATTTACGTATCAGATTAATCTATAGACGATGGCCCTAAGAGACTACGACATATGTTAGGTGTATGGTTTATGCCAAATGTTGTCCATGTTCTCCAATGTTATTGTTATTGTTATTGTTATTCAATAGTTGAGATTATCAAATATAATTTTTAAGTTTAATTTTTAAATTCATCGGGTATTACTCTAATATTGTTGGCATACTATACTTCAGCATGAGGTAGCAGCTGTGTCACTTACTAACCAAAAAGGAGGTAATAAATGAAAGATTAGAGGTTCTTGGAAATTTCTGACCGTCATTCTCCCAATTGCATAAAAGGTGTTCAGTCAAATATGCAACAGCCTACCCTCAAAGCAAAGCAATTTCTAGGGAGGTTGTTTGGTATGCATCAATGTCATGGAAGACCTTGAAGGCAGCTTTGTTGACTGGGAAAGAGAGAAGATTCCAAGCAATAAAGCTTCTTTTGGAAAATCCCAAAATAGTTTCTTTGGTAATCTGTAAAGTAGTTGGCTTTTTTGTGGATGTGTATTATTTATTTATTTTTTTTTGACAGATACTTAGTACCACTCTTTTCGTTTTTAAATATATGTCATTTTATACAATTTTTTTTTTCCATAATATCTATCATTTAATGAAACCAAAGTATAATTAATATTTTTTTTTCTAAATTTACTTTTAACTTTTCAATACATTAGATTAAATGGAGACTAAGTGTCTTTTATATTCCTTTCCTTCTCAATACGTATTAAATAAGAGTATTTTAGTCTTGTACAATTATTTTTTATTTATATTAGAGTTATTTAATAACTTCTTTAATCCCTGTGCAAAAACCTTAAAGAATAAATATTTAAAAACAGAGAGAGTATAAGAGAGTAAAACGACGAGGTTTGAGTCAATAAACTTAAAATTCATCAGGGAGTTGATGATCATTAAATTAACTACTAATCTCGATATTAGTTAAATTTTTGGTTGCAATTTTGATACCCATCACAGTCAAGCCCTCACATACGAGCATAGTTTGATCACCACGGGCTTAGTCCGCATGGCTTTGGATGGCTTAAAGCAATCTCTCTCTCTCAAACATTCTAGGACGGAATCCCCTCGAAAACCCAAAAAAGAAGCCCAGTGAAAGTGTATAGTATGCCGATGGATAACCTTGGTTGGGAAAAAAACTGCTCTTATATTTATTTTTTCTTCACGTCGGGATTAGAATATTTATTAGTAATAAATTTTTTATGATCTGATTCTAAGAAGCAGTAAAGATTCAAATTCAGGATGTTTAAATTCAAATCTAAGGATAACTCAAGTGAACACAGGAACAAATTATAAACTCAAACATCTTGACAACCCTTAGGATCAGCCATGATAGATTTATCCCTCATAAATATCTTAATTTCAACGTGAATAGTATGCCTATGATTTAACTGAGAAAAAGATTAGTCGAGATACACATAAACTCACTCAAACACCGCAGACTCTTGAACTCAAAAGATAGAATGTAGACATCGATTCAAATATGATACAAATATGTTCTTTTATTTCCTTTTTTCCTCCCATGAAATTCCTATCTTTGTCTTCATTTGTAATTAGAGGATTTAACTGGGAAAAAAAGGTCACAACCCAATGAGTAGCTTTTCTTATTTTATTTTTAAATTAAAATTTCCATTATGCTGATAAGAAGTCAATTAGGAGAACTTCTATTTCACCATAATCAACAACACTATTTATCCTCAGAGGTAGTTCAGTAGTTGAATCTAATCTTTGATAACTTAGATGTTTCAGGTTCAATTCCTTCCCCCCCCCCCCCCCTCAAGACTAGTCACCTTGTCACATTAAAGGACATGTTCTAATCCAACTCAAGTCACAATAGTCAATCGCTGAACTCGATAGTGTAGTTAACATAAACCTGAATAACTGTACCAAAAAATAAAAAATTTGTGTAACAACACTCTTTCTCATGTTTCATTATTTTTTATTTTTTGTCTTTGGACTGATATTCTAGATACATCATTTTAACTCGTCAAAGTCTTCCTATTTCTTCATTCTTTTAAGTGTAATATTTTATAAGAATTCTTATACAAAATGATGTAAAGTGAATTTTTTCTACATATAATAATATGAATTCTCTTGTATTTATGAAAAATGAAATGAGACTAGTGCATAATAGATCCCTTCATTCTATATAAAGATTAATGCAAAAAATTAGTCGTATGCACTTATACTATAGAGTAGGAATACAATTACTGAATATTGGGCTTTAGCCAAGATTTCAAAACTAGGAAAAAAAAAGGGCCCAACTTAGAGGAATGTTGATCTGTGAGAAGATAATAGTAGCCTAACAATTGTTTTTGACTAATTTTCACTTTGCTTTGCTTGTGTTTCTATTCATTTTTAAATGTCATTGTTTTTTAACTGATAAAAATAATATATCGAAATAAAATTTGATATTTGATAAAGAATTAACTTTCATTTGGCTTTCTAAGAAAAAAATTGTCATTTAAAACAAGTTTAATCTGTCCTTAAAAATTGTTTGCTAACTGACCAGCCCAAATTCAAATCAGGCTTAAACTCAATCCATGGGTTGAACTCAAATGATCAAAAAATATGCCAAACTTAGATCATGGTTTCAATCCAATTCAAAACTCAAGAGTTCAAGAAGAGTCAACGTATGTGAGGGAGCAATTATCGTAATAGTCATTACTTTAAGATAATGTCCATCCCTAATTATAGCTAGCCTCCTCGACAAACTAGTACATTAACCCTCATGTCACCGTTTCAAGTAGGCTCTGCCCCTATAAATTGTAAACCCCCTACACATGGGAGCAGAACATGCACATCTCACATTAAGCATATTTTTGCGTTATCTCTCTTTTACTACATTGTACTCTATTATTACTACCTCAGTTGGGTCTGGTTAGATTACTCAGATCCAACCACTCAATCTTTATTTTTTATTATTAATTGTTTTATTAATTATTTTATATCACACACTCAACTTATGTAATTGTAAATAATCAACTTTGTACATCATCACTAACATTGGTTATTTTTTTCAAGAATCCTCTCATTTATAGAGAGGGTGGAATAAGGTTCTAAATCTTATCATTATCAATTAAAAAAATTAAAATCAATGGTTTATTTGAAATCTAAAATCAGTGCCTTGGCACACCTAGAACCAATGTAGACAAAATATAATAGGACAAATTATATAATTGCTGATGAATTTGGACGGCACATTTTACATTTTAGTGACTTAATTCTTTTTTTCCTCGCTTGTTGGAAAAAAAAGTGACTTAATTTGAAAAATAATAAAACTATGAGGAGATATCTTGGAAAAAATTATCTTCTTAATTTTAATTTTTTAATAATTTTATTTATTTAATTTATAACCATGTTATGATATCAATTTATAATATAATAGCAAATAAATTAACTAGGAGAGAGAAAAATTATATTTTTCTATGTATCACTTATTATTAACCATTTCCTCGCCAACTAATTACCCATTATTTAAATAGTTTTATCTACAAATTATTTTTATTATCTAATAAAAATAATTGCAAAATCTAGTAAGGTGGGATTGGGAGTTTATTAGTCAAGTAAAATTGGGTGGGCTATTCCCTTTCCCACCCCTTAAAGATCTATTTTCAAACCCCCACCCCCCCCCCCCCCCCCCCCCCCCCCCC